AGGAGGGGCGGAGATACCTAGGATAAGGGGCGGGGCCAGGGAGGAGGAGCACGATACCGGAGGGGGGCGGGGCCAGCGGGAAAGCTGGATCACCAAGAAGGAGCTGGTATACCCGTGGTGGGGCGGGGCCAGCGCGGAGGGGCTGGGATACCTAGGATAAGAGGCGGAGCCAGAAAGAGGACAAGGGAAGGAGCCAAATGGAGTGGCAGGGCTGACCAGGACTGACGAACCGGCCCAGCACTGAGAAGGCGGACATTCCGGGGCATGGAACACTCTCAACAAAGTCGACAGCGGAGTTAAATGGCAAAGAGTGGGAGTTAGAAAGGGAAAGAACTAAGTTGCTTGGGCGGGTAAGTGGGATCAGCAAACGGAGAAGGTACCTGGGAAGGGGGTGGAGTCACCAGGGAAAGGGGCGAGGTCATTTGGAAAGCGGGCAGAATTATCTTAGAAAGGGGATGGGGTCCGCAAAGATATCTGGGAAAAGGGGAGGCTTCTCGGAGGGCAATCCAGGAGGGGGCGAAGTAACCTGGCAGAAGTGGTGGAGCTGGAAAGGAAGGGGATGAGTTACGTTTGGGAAGAGAAATATCATTGTGTGAAGATGCAGTTTTCTTAAGAAAGCTGGGCAGTCATCAGGGCTGCCGGCTACCCACTTAGCGGGGAAGTTGGGAACGGGATCTCAGGAAAAGTGGGGAGTGTGAGCGCCTATGGGGCGGGGCTAGGGAAGAAGAGAGTTACTGCGCAGAGAGGCGGGGCTGGAGAAGAAATGAGAGAGGGACTACGTCTTCATTCTCTGCCTTCTCTCCGCAGACCTGCCCCCCGGGGCCCCACAGTGCTCAGTTGAAGGGGGTCCCGGGGACCGCAGCCTCCGCTTCCGCTGCTCGTGGCCCGGCGGAGTCCCTGCCGCCTCCCTGCAGTTCCAGGGTCTCCCCGAAGGCATCCGCGCGGGGCCAGTGTCCTCTGTGCTGCTGGCTGCCGTCCCCGCCCACCCCCGGCTCAGCGGCGTCCCCATCACCTGCCTTGCTCGCCACCTGGTGGCCACGCGTACCTGCATAGTCACGCCGGGTGAGACTGCGCGGGGCTTTTTTGCTGTTTCTCAGGAGGAGGGAGACTTTTTCTTTGGTCCTTCGAAAATTCTGAAGGGGTTTGGGGTACGTCCTTAGTCCAAGAAAGAGGCAGGACTTCACTGTCTTCAAACGAGAAAAGGGACAAAGATTTCCCTATACCTCATGGTGAGGGCGTGCAGGGATAGGGGTATTTTTTGGACACAGGAAGAAGGCCATCACTTTCCCACGTGTTCAGTGAGATAAAGCAGTGATGTTTTAAAGAGTAATGAGGTCGGGCGCAGTAATCGCAGCACTTTGGTAGTTGGGGGCGGAAGGGTTGCTTGGGCCTAGAAGTTCAAGACCAGCCTGGGCAGTGTGGCAAGACCCAGTCTTACAATTCTTATTGCTACATAATAATAATTATTATTATTCTAATAAAGAAGAATGAATAGCCGAGAATAATATGAGTTTCCCAGTACAGGGCCTGCTCCTAGGGTATGTGTTCAATAAGTGTTTGATGAGGAAATCAGATAATAAATGAATGAATGAATGAATGAATGAGCGAATGAGTGAGTAAACTGGCAGTTCTTTCCCAGGTGGCCAAAGCGCTGGGGCTTACCACCATCTGATTTAAAGTAGGGCATAGGACCTGTTCTTTGAATCCAAGGTAGGGTCTCGACTTTCTTAACTGGGCTTCTCCCACCTGCAGAGGCCCCCCGAGAGGTGCTGCTGCATCCGCTGGTGGCAGAGACACGGTTGGGGGAGGCAGAGGTGGCACTGGAGGCCTCTGGTTGTCCCCCACCCTCACGGGCATCCTGGGCCCGGGAAGGGCGGCCCCTGGCTCCAGGAGGCGGGAGTCGCCTGCGGCTCAGTCAAGATGGGCGGAAGCTCCACATCGGCAACTTCAGCCTGGATTGGGACCTGGGAAATTACTCCGTG